CTGCCGGCCTGGTCGCCCCACGCAGCCTGCTGTTCAGTTGTTTGGTTGTCCCTCACTAACCCCCCTGCCGGCCCGGTTGCCCCATGCAGCCTGCTGTTCAGTTGTTTGGTCATCCCTCACTAACCCCCCTGATGGCCTGGTCACCCCACACAGCCTGCTGTTCAGTCATTTGGTCATCCCTCACTAACTCCCCTGCCAGCCTGGTCACCCCACACAGCCTGCTTGTTCAGTCATTTGGTCGTCCTCACTAACCCCCCTGCCGGCCAGGTCGTAGGCAGCCATCTTGTGAGGGTGTGAGGGTCAATTTGCATATCACATCTTTATTATATAGGATAATTGGAGGGAAGGATCTTTTTTAGTGTCCGAGTACATTTTCCTTCATTTCTCCTCTAATTAAATACTTTCCTTTCTTCATGCATCACATTTAGTGTTTCTTTACATTTATAATTTATATAAAACTTGTTTTTCCCTTACTTAATATTCTCTTTTCCTCAATGTCCTCCTCCTAAATTGAATGCCATTCCTATTTATTTCCCTTCTTTCCTGATTTCCCTTTTTTTCTGATCCCTTTTCCTTCAACCTAAACCTCAATTTCTATTCTTACCTCCTTTAAGCAATATTGCTGATCTCAGCTCTCCAGCATTTTGTAAGATTGATTTTCAAAGATATAAATATTTAATATAGGATTCTCTGTACCATATGTGGTAAATGGAAATAAGTAAAATAAAGAGTAACCTTTGGCCCTTGTAGTCCTTGAGGTCCAGGTGGTCCAGGGGGACCCTAAATCCAGAAAAGACAAAGTTATAAAAGGGAGCCAAGTCTATGTATTAAATTTTATACTTTAATAAGTATACTACACACTTTCTTAATTTCTATCACAATCAAATATTTCCTAATATTGATTTGCAAGGAGGAAAATTTCACCAGTTGCAAACCTACTTATATGCAAAAACATCAACAAACACGTAGGCCATAATAATACTGAAGATGCTTTTGAGTTGAACTGCAAGATAATGTAAAATTGCTATTGTCTCACATTCATCTTCTTGGGTTGAATTAGCTTATTAATATTATCTGTGCCTCTAGACACATTCCTCCCTCCCCCCCCCCAAAAAAAAGGGCATTGCTTGCCTAAACGCTAAAAAACAAACTATATAATTAAGATAAGGCCAAAGACTTTTAAGAAAAATGACTCTTTTTTTCCTGACTTTTTCACTAAACAGACAAAGTGGTTAAACTGGGGAAAATGTGAAAAAGGTTATTTATATAAGAAAAAATAAATCTCATATAAAAACAATTGCTACATTAGTACCATTATGAGCAGCATGCATCAACATCAAATACAAAGCCACACACCACAGAAATCATGCAATAGGAGTTACCGTGACAGTTAAGGTGGTAATCCTCTGTTGGGAAAATGTATTGATAAAGACAGAGTTACCTATTTTGTGTGCCAAAGTACAGAAATACATTTCTGAAATAATCAATGTTTTGAATATGTTTTGGCAAGACTGATAACCCATAAGGAATTGACAAGAATCTGAGAGCATATAATCCTATCTTCAAATGAATAAAATACTAGTATATTATAAAGATTCCTTTAAACATTATTTTTAGAATTTTATTTAAAAGAATCTGGATAAAGGAAAAAAGATCAAAATTTTAATTCACCTGATTTTATCATTTTACTTATTTTTTAAAAAAATTATTGATTTTATAGAGAAAGAGGAATAGGGAGAGAGGGAGAGAGAGAGAGAGAGAGAGAGAGAGAGAAGATCCATTTGTTGTTCCACTTATTTATGTACTCATTGGTTGCCTCCTACATGTGCCCTGAATGGAGATTGAACCCACAACTTAATCCATTGAGCTACCCTGCCAGGGCTAATTCACCTGATTTTAAAAAATGATGTAGTAAAATACTACACACTAGAGGTTTGTCAGTTAACTGTGACCTGAGAAACTTCATCATTCATATGATCTCTAGATCTTCTAGAGTACTTCAACTAGAGAAAACTTGAACAATCTAATTGTGTAAGTGGTATTTTTTTCTCTTTTAGTTTGTGCCATGTCTACCAGTAAAGAAAGAAGCTGACATGGGATTCATCTAGTTTCTTAATGTAAAGTGCTAGAGTTCTGTAACAAAATGTATTCTCTGAAAGTATAAATCTCTGAAACACTTGACCCCTAATCTAGGATCATTTTTGTGTTAATCTTTTCTAATTTATGTTTTGTGCTAAATGTTGCATAGGACCTATAACCAATTTATGCAACCATAGAGGGGCAAACATTCTCCACTGGGTACTCCAATCCCAATAGAGAAACATTATTTATTGCACGTAAACTTGTGAATACCAGTTTAGCACCATCCCTTTGTTTTCCACTAATACTCCATTCCAATTTCTGATGTAGGTTGTTGTTGCTGTTTTTTATTATTGTTGTTGTGAAAAAATAATCTTAACGTTATCTATCATACCTCTTTCACTCGTGGCTTTAGTGACATGATGTCATTATTCCTTAGAAAACAATGTATTTATGCATGTGTATAAATATTCAATTTTGCACTCTATGATAAAATCGGTTATGGTCATTACAGCTTCAGAGAAAACATAGTAGGAGAAAATCAACCAGTACTTTTTTTTTAAATCTTCACCCGAATATATTTTTCCATTGATCTTTAGAGAGAGTGGAAGAGAGAGGGAAAGACAGAGAGAAATACTGATGTGAGAGAAACACATTGACTAGTTGCCTTCTGCACGTGCCCCAACCAGGCCTGGATTGACTGGTTGCCTCCTGCACGTGCCCCAACCAGGCCTGAGCTGGGGAGGAGCCTGCAGTCAAAGTATGTGCCCTAGACTGGAATCCAAAAACAGATACCAGTTACTTTATTCATATGGGATTCATCTAAAGCAAGAGTCAAATTTAGGATTATGAGAAAGCTATTTCTTCGTTTCTATAGGTAAATTAGTCATTTTAAAAAATCTGCTAGAAAATTATAGAGTAAAAATACTTTCTTAATCATTGCCTTCCAATTACACATTGCCATTTTAACTAGAAAACAGAGTGATAAGGCCTTAGAAAAGGAAATTAACTTAAAAATTGAACCCTCGAAGGTTTTCCAACAGGTGCCACATATAATTCATTTTTTATCTAAACACAAAACTAGTTCTTTTATAAATTTAAGGATAACATCATGTTTTATAATGAGGTGCATAATAAAAGAGTATTATTAATGGTAATAGAACTATCTAACAGATGGGGTTTAAATGATCTTGTTAAATAACTGTATTTGTGAGACCTAAAAGTTATATAGGAAAGGGCAGGTTCCACCCAGTTCATAGAAGAACAAATGACAGAACACTAAGCTAAGTTCTCAAAACCAGAGTTTTTACTGCCATCCTGAAACACCAGTGTGCAGACACAAAGAAACGTCCTAAAGATGTTTGCTCATGTTGGACTTCTTGTATCTGGCTCTTCTAAGTTAAGGGTACACATGCTCAGCAGGATTCTCGCTTGAAGTTCAGTTATGACTTGAAAGCCAGAATGTTGTTGAAAGGCATGCCATTCTCTAGTGAGGCATGATGGGAAATGGGAAGCATGAGCTAGAATGACTAAACTGGTTGAAGGTTGGCAGGCTGCTTAGTGATTTATTCCCTGAGATACTTATGCAAATCACTTTAGAATTAGAGGTTATTTCCTTTCTTTTCTGACAAAGATACACACTTAACATCACCCATGATTTACACCAGAGAACAGGTTTAGTTTGAATGCTATTGAGGACTTTTAAAAGCTTGAGTAGGAAATGGGGAAATTTTACTGCAAATGTGGAAATGCATCCACCTTAAATAAAAGTAAATGGCTTATGGCAAATGTTCACATAAATAACAAATTTCAATTGAGGCAACAGTAAAATATTTATAATGTGATATTTTTATAACTGTAAAATACTCATATTTATCTAATTACCCTAGACTTCTTTGCAGAATTTTTAGAGGAGGCAACAGTAAAATGAAACAAAACTGAAAATCCATCACTGGGTAGAGAATTAGAAGAATAAATGTCTACTATTTCCTTTCAGTCTAATGGCTATTTAGTTCATTTTTTTAAGGGACTCTTATCCACTAGAGTATATAATTAGGAAAACAAATAAATAGGTTTGAAGTGAAAAACAATGGCACTATAAACTATTTATAAGCACAACATATAGTTGCCCTAACAAGCCCATAAGAATAATAAAACTTTAGAGGTTGAGATATAAATATGAACCAGTTGATTATGATGAATATTGACTTGTTTATAGTCATATAGAACTCATGCTGAGAAGAAGAAACTGAGCACAGATATTCTTTTATATCAAGATGCAGGTGTCACAATTTTAATAAAATACAGTGTGTTCAGGCACACCAGCAGGAAGGGTTCAGGAGCTCAGAAAATAATCCTAAGTATAATGTTAGAATCTAAAGACTCTTAGAAAAAAATCTATTTAATCAAATCCTCATTTTCCAGATGCAATCAATGAAGTATAGATACATTGATTTCTCTAAAATGACTTAGCTAATTAGTAGTAGAGGGGAGATCAAAACAGAGATTTTAGTTTTAGGTTAAATAATTCTCTTTCTTAACTAATCAGTTTCTGTTAATGGTGCCATAAGTCTTTGAATTTCTTGAGATAGGAATTGCTCCATTCCAGGCCCTGTTCATGCACAAGATGCTTTAAAAGTCCCCTTTTACAATTTTTTTTTAGAAAAATGGCCAACAATATTGGAGCAGTTCTTGGAAGGTAAGACAATGGATATCCCTTAAAGATTGTAGTAAGAATTATGGTGCCATGGGAAGCAATATAAGGGAAATTTACAACATTGTTAATAAATTAAGTTTAAGAAGTATACCTATATTTTATAAGTAAGAACTCTGAAAACATAGTAAGTGTACCTAACTAACCTTCTTGTTCTATTTCTCTTTCTTTTTTACACATACCAATGAAAAGACCAGAAGAAGTAGGCTGAGCTGAACATAGATTCTGTAAAAATGGTAGTTGTAGCGAAAGACTCATAGGAATGAAGGCCTACAATAATTAGAGAATGTTAGTGAAGTCATGAAGATAGGAAACAAACCCAAAACAAATAGAAAATAGCAAATATTTAAGACAACTGTTGAGTTTTTCAAGCAAATAAATGGATTGTACACATGAGATAAGTATACTCACTCATTCACCCAATGACTTTATTTAATATTTATGCCCAGACCTGAGCCAGGCATGTTGGGGGATACAGAGTAAGCACAAGACAGATTTCCCGTCACCAAGTGACTTCCAGTCAGGTAAGCAGCAAGATTAAATAACTTATGTGATTTAAAGAATAATTAAATGTTAAACTACTGGGCTGGGCCCTGACAGCTAATGTTTAAAAGAGGAGAATCTCATCTGGGTGGCAGCAGTGCATTGTTGGAGAGGACTTCGATGGATAAAAGAAAGAAAAGAAGAATGGGATGAACCAGGCAAAAAGTGGAGGATTTTCATAAATAGGATCAATAGGACCACTTCAGGGGAAAATGTGTTCTGGAAAAATAGAAAATTCTGTATAGGAAACAGATGAATATAGAACCTTTAAAGTCAGGTAGAGAAGTTTGAGCTTGATAGAGTAGGCGAGGGGGTCCATTTAGGTTTCTGAGAAGATTGAAACAACCAAAATAGTAAAAATTATGAAAATTAACCTTGAAGTGATGTACAGGATGGATTAGAAGAGTAAGGAGGCACTAGGGCAGAGGAGTTGGCTGAGGGCTTGTTGCAGTGTTAGACCTGAAATAAATAGGATGTGGACTTGGTTGGGAATGGATAGAATGGGGCAACCTCACAGATAGTTTGAAAGAAAGAAACAGTAGCATCTGATGAGATATAATGAATGAAGGGCTAAGAATAGTTAAAAAATAACTCTAAAGTTTCTATCAAGAAATTCAAAGACTTGTGGTATCATTAACAGAAACTGGTAAGTTAAGAAAGGGAATCACTTGGTAGGTGGGAAAGGTGACCAGTTTAACTTTGTGTATTGTTGGAAGTTGATAATCAATTGTGCATCCATGGAGGAAATATTCCTAGGCAGCTGGAAGTATATGCAGATCAGACACGGTGTGAAAGATTTGGAAGCAGCCATAACACAGAAGAACATGGAGTGATGTGCCAAGAAAAGATCAGAGACTTGAGGATACCAAAAATTAGGGAATGGACAGAGAAACTGGAAATACAAAAACAGAGTGGGTCCATCAAAGACAAAAACTAGAAGAAATGAGAGTAGAGGATCAGAGAAACCAGGAAGAAAAAGTTTCAGAAAAGGAAGGTGGTTTAGTATAAATGCCACAGAAAAGTCAAGGGTGGTAAGGACAATGTGCTTGACCTAGAGGTTATTAGTGACCTTTATAGGAGAAGTTACAACAGACTGGTGACAGAGGCTAGAATGCAGGAGTCTAAGCATGAAAAGGATGAATAGGATGCAAAGTGATGGAGACATGCCACACAGTCTATGGTTTTCACTTAATGGAAGAAAAAGAATTGAATGGTAGCAGTAATAAGAAACACCCATAGAGGACTTATTCAATGCCAGGCATTTAGCCATTTGCAGCTCACAACAACCCTATCAGGTAGATACTACAACTGTCCTCATTTTAGAGAAAACTGAGGCGTAGGTCATACATTTAGTAAGCAAAAGGGCTGAGATTTGAACCCAGGCATCTTCAACTCCAGAACCACAGGGCTTTTCATTGCTTTGCTTGGCTTGGCTTGCTTTGCAAGCAAGGAGGCAAAGATAGGTGAAACAAACACAAGGTTTAAACCAGGTATGACTTACACATCTCTGAAGCTACAAAGGAAAGGGAAGATTGAAAATGCTAGGAAATAAAGAGGATAAACTGGGGCAAGCAGAAGGGGATGGGTTCAGAATAGGAAGAGGGTGTGGTTTGAGCAGTGGAGCCCTCTGGAATCCCTGGCGGGTATGGAGCTGATATTTATGCTCATCAGTGTCACTCTCTGTGGCAGGGAGCAGTCACTTGCCTGCAAGGCTTCATGGAGGTTGCCATTATAGTCTATGATCTCTGTGGCTCCTTGATCCCCCTTTTGACCAGGTGGACCCTATGAAAAAAACCAACCAACAGGAAATCATGTGGGTTAGGCTAGGATATAGAAGGGACTTTGGCAAAAACAGAATTAGTAACTTGCAGCTTTTTGACCAACAATTCCCGGCTAAGGCACAACTGCACTTCAGAATACATAGTCATGTTTGAATTTTGTCCTTATTTCATAGGAGGTGAACCATTTCTAACTTCCTTGTCTGTGCATGTTAAAGATATGAAATATGAATAAAAAATAGGTATGAGTCAATCTCTGAAACTGTTTTCTGAAAATTATAAAATGTAGGCTAATCTGATTCAACTTGTAAACCTTCATTGGCTTTATCCATATTTATTAAAGCAACCCTAACCCTTTCTAGTCATTTACAACGCAAAGATTGCTTCCTCATTCTTTAAGGAGATAGAGCACTGTTCTTAGGAAGCTCCTGGTTTTCCCAACAGGAATAGAGTTCTATTGAAATAACACCAAAGAGGGAATGCAAAGAAGACAAATACCTTTAAAATTTCTATCCTGCTCATTGGCTCTGCCACTGAATTTCCATTAGTTATGTCCTAATTCCTTGCCTGTGTTTTAACAAAAGGCTCTAAAAATAGGAGTGGTTGCTCTGGTTTTCCCAACAGGAATAGAGTTCTATTGAAATAACACCAAAGAGGGAATGCAAAGAAGATAAATATCTTTTAAATTACTATCCTACTCATTGGCTCTGCCACCGAATTTCCATTAGTTATGTCCTAATTCCTTGCCCGTGTTTTAACAAAAGGCTCTGAAAATAGGAGTGGTTGCTTTTTTTGAGAAAAATGGAAAATTCTACTAGCTGGATGACTATGGACTTGCTATTGCTTGTTTAGCAGAGGGAAAGTAGATCAAGACTTCTTTAGACCTTCTTCTCTTGAGCTCAATTTATGTGTTAGAATCTATACACTCATTGCTACTTGTAAGTGAAATTGAAAATAATATGAAAGGAGGGTATCAATAATAACACTACTAGTCTACTGGTGCTATTATTTGGCATTAGTAGTTGAGGTGCCTTGTGAAAAGCCACATAGATCCATGTGGCTTTAATTCTGGGCTTGTGGGGGCATATGGGACAAAAGCTGGGAGGAGAGACACACTCACCCTTGGTCCCAGGGTTCCAGAGTCTCCTTTGTCTCCACGGTCACCCTTACACCAGTGAAAAGAGAAAAAAAAAACTAATTAATAGGAGGACCAACAGTCTAGAAATATCCCAGATCTAAGGATGTATTTAATACCATACAGCAGCACCCTTGTTACAAACTTCTGAAGTACAAAATGACAACTACAATAAGCACCTACGTGGCAAATGCTTCTTTAAGATACATCTTGCAGTGAATTAAAATTCCCCTTTCAGATAAGAGAGTATCTTGGAACAACAATGTATATGTTAGCTCTTTCACTAGGGATCTTCAAAAGCAAAGCAAGTGGTTTCCATGACACCCAGTGTACAATGTTACCCCTCAGACTGAGCTATGTTTTTGCCTTTCTATGAAAACTGGGTCAAAGGAAAAAAGAGCCAACCACTTTGGTTATCTTTCCTCTGAGAGGTAATGTGTAAATAATCGAGACAGGGAAGGAACGGAGAGCTCATTCTGGGAGGATCAGAAGGGAAAGGTCACCAGCTAGGCATTCCTCTGATGATGGAGATTTGAGGAAGAGTTTTCCTGTGGGTATAGGCATTTTAACACAGAAGGTGCTGAAGTGGACAGCAGCTAGCTGGGACTGGCCGGCAGGGCTGAAGGTCAGGGGCAGGGCAAACCCAGCCCTCTCGTCTTTTTAAATGCTAAATGAAAAACCTCTGAAGTTCCACTTATGGTGTTATTACCCCACCTGCAGAGACACAAGGAATAGTCCACGTCTCAAACTGCATCCACATCACTCTGAGAACACTCAAAATTCTCAGAAGTCTCAACAGAAATGTTGGAGAAGAGATTTGAACCTGTGTAGATTTGAAGGTTCTTTAAAACAACCTTAAATTTATAGAGACCTTTGTCTAAATGGAATTCAAAGCATTTTGATATATCTTTCTATATATTCCTATAAACTGGGTAAGGACCAATGAAGAGAAACAAGAAAAGGGATTATAATTTTTATCCATCCACATTGACCCATAATAATTACATTGAGAGAATAGAGAACAACTTCTGCTCTGTTTTCTTTATTTCTGCGCCAATTTCCCATATTATTAGCTAATAGCATTTTAAATAACATGATTCTGCTAACAATGTATAGATAATTGCAAATATTATAAAGAACATGGTACAGAAAAGAATTTCAATTGGTGGTGAAATTTTAATGCAATGAAAGGAGTCAACTAACTTAAAAACACAGTAGCCTTGGACAGGTGGCTAAATTGTTTGGGGTGTCATCCTATACATCAAAAAGTTGTGGGTTCAATTCCCCATCAGGGCACACCCCTAGGCTGCAGGTTCAATCCCTGGTTGGGGTGCATATAGGAGGCAACTGATCTATGTTTCCCTTCCCTCCCCTCCCCTCCCCTCGCCTCCCCTCTCCTCTCCTCTCCTCTCCTCTCCTTTCTCTAAACATACCCTATGGTGAGGACTTTTTTAAAAAGCAAAGTATAATTGGAATATTTATCACAAAGATAGCCAGGAAATGAAAAATAAGATTATACCATATATAAGTTAAATTAGGTACAGTACTTAATTTTTTCCAAAGAAACTATTCTATGAAAAAGGAAATAAAACTTCCCTTAAAGCAGTGGTTCTCAACCTTCTGGCCCTTTAAATACAGTTCCTCATGTTGTGACCCAACCATAAAATTATTTCCGTTGCTACTTCATAACTGTAATGTTCCTACTGTTATGAATCGTAATGTAAATATCTGATATGCAGGATGGTCTTAGGCGACCCCTGTGAAAGGGTCGTTCGACCGCCAAAGGGGTCGTGACCCACAGGTTGAAAACCGCTGCCTTAAAGAATAGCCATAAACACAGGAACACACAAAAACAAGATGAAACAAACAAACCAATTGTTCTGAAATATCATCATAGGGATGAAATTATTGGAAGAGTTTAATTTAAAACATGATTCTCTGTGGAAGAGGCCAAAAGCACAGCTCTTGAAGGCCTCATGTAACATTAAAATGATTGTCTGGTTACTGACCTTTGACCCCTTTGGGCCTCTAGTTCCTGATTCACCTTGTTTCCCCTATTATAGGAGAATATGAAGATGAAAAAGAGAAAAGAGACAGAGTACATAAGAACAGAGAAAAGAAATGATCAGTGACATAAAAATGGAAACACTTCATTTTAACTGCCATAATATATGGCTCTATGTAATGTTGGCTATTAAAACACTAAACATAAATATCATCACAGTATCACTGGTTCATTCCCTGGTCTCCCTGTCAACCTGCATTCCACTATAACTGAAGACTGCCCTCCCACCAGTGGCTGGGAAGAGCTCTGTGAATGATTCTCATTAGTCTCAACAGTGTTTGCATAAATTTCCTTTTCATCAAAGAGTAAATCATTTCCTGTGTATCTAGGATGGGCTATTAAAATAAAGTGTTACCATATTAGTTTGCAGGAAGTTTAGAGGAATAAAGATTGAACAGTCAAGTAAATTTCAAGGTGTTATCATCAAGTTACTATCAAAACTAAATACAACACATATCAACATGTTCTCATACGTTTCAATACCCATTGAGTGATAATGTGTTAACGACAGTAATTCCCCCTTTACATTTGGATGTGTTATTACATTTGTTCATCGAAAAGAGAGAAAATTAGGAAAGTTAAATTGTAAAATTCATTTTTTAAAAGAACCAATTGATGTGTATTTCAATAAATTATTTGTGCATTTCAATAAATTAATATTTGTTGAGGAATTTTAAATTTTAGTTTTATGTTATAAATCAAGAGGCACACATTTCCAAACCAAAGAATGTTATTTTCCAATGTAAGAATAACTTACCTTTGGTCCAGGAGTTCCAGGCTCCCCTCGCTCACCTCTTCCAGGAGGCCCTGCCTCCCCTCGCTCACCCTGTCACAAAATGCAAAACCTTAAATGGCAACCCTCCTCTCTACCCCCCTATCCCCAGCTGGTACCTGTAGATTAATAAGTAAATTGAATAAAATTAAAGAAAGCATATAATTGCCATGTATTTATCATGTATCCAGCACTGTATTAATCGCAACATGAATTATCTAATTTAATCAGATTGCTCAATCCATTTCATTATCATTTCCATTTGATAGATAAGGACATGAATTGGTAAATGCCTGTCAAACACCTACGTAAGTAAATGGAAGACCCTTAAAGGGACCTGAAAAGGGCCATCATGATACCTCCAGTCAGGAATAGACATAGTTTTCATTCTGCGGCCACTTTCTCAGTACTACCAGGATGCAGCATGGCAAAGTGGTTAAGGCTTTGCAATGGCCATAACTTATCACGTATAGTGGCCAGGCTTCTTGTAATCCCACATCCTGGGTCTGTTATTTATCAGTTCTGGGTTTTGAGGCAAGTTAGTTAAGTCCCCAAAGCCTCCGTTTCCTCTGTAAAATACAGAAAATTATAGTACTGATCTCATAACTTATAAATGTAGTACACGACACATAGGTATTACCGCTTTACGTTCTCCACAGCTCTGTGAAGTATGAATATGGCCACTGCCCCCAAGGAGCTAGTGACCTATTTAGACAAGGTCCACATAACAAAACAGTTAAGAATTCAGGAGTAGCATAAGGCCATATATGAGAGAAGAAGAAACCCCGGGGGTTTTTAATGGTCCAAACTGGCCCCCTGAGGGTGAGACTCGAGTCATGTCCTGAAGGATGAGTAGGTTGTATTTTATAAGTATTGCTGTTTATGACTATGCCCTTAATGAGTGCAGGAACTTCACAAAACACTTCACATGCTTTATCCTATGTAATCCACAGGGCAGATGAGAAAGGCGTTAGTATTCACAGTCTTACAGACGAGGCAACTGAAGCTCAGAGAGATTAAGTAACTTTCTCAAAGTCACAAAGCTTTTAAAAGGAAGAGCAATAATTTAAAACTGTGCTCCATCTTCAACTTCTGTAGAAATATTTTTGTATGTGATCCTTTGAACATCTCTGGCCATTTTCTAAGGAAAAATGCGTAGTTGTGGAATTGCTGCTGTAGAAATATTTTTGTATGTGATCCTTTGAACATCTTTGGCCATTGTCAAAAAGTATGAACATATTAGAAGTTTGCCAAGTCACCCTCCAGGAAGACGCCACCGTTTTATATTCCCTGAGCACAGTAGACTGTCTGGCTTCCCGCATGATGGGCAGCATTCAGTACTCAAACAGGTTGTGAATTCAGTCTGGTGTTAGCTGGGTGATACAGGGCTTTAAATTCCAAGACCTTTATCTGTATCAGTCCCTCTCTGGGAAGCTGTTATGGTTTTGCAGGCGAGGTGGGATAGGGTAGTGCAGGCATGAGAGAAAACTCAGGAGTTTGCTCAGCATGAACCAACGGGAGTGGGACAGTGGAGGAGGTGGGAGAAAGGCAGGCACTTGAGGGATGCAGCAGACGGAAAAGATGCTCTGAGAGCTTCCCCAGGGATTAGAGACTGAAGCACTTCTGTTGACATATGGAATTTTTATCTTTAAAAAGTACCATATTTGGCATTTCTCTTAATATTTTACAGCAGAATTCTAAAATAGTAACTATAAGCTTGTTTCAGGGCAAAACAGAAACCTTAGAAAATCATTTATCTGTTATATACCATAGGAGTGGAGTGGCTATATCTTTACCTAGAATCACTTTAAAAAATTACAATGCCCCTAATTGGTTACTTGTCACTTTCTGGATTTATGTAATTTGTTTGTTCACTTCTTTCTCTCCTCCCACCCTTCCTCACACATACTGGAAGGTAAGCTTCAGGAGAATAGAGACCATTTTTGCTGCATTTAGTTTTCATTCTCAGGTAGTAAAAAAAAGTCTGGCAAAAAAATTGTTGGATTAACGAATGAACAGCATTCTATCACTCAAAGTATTCTAAATTATTGAGAATAACACTCCATTTCTTTAGACTGCTGTAGGTCTCTCCCAGGACTGACATAGATGCTGAGGACACAGCATTTTTAAATGCCATCTCACACCTTCCTTCATTATGATTTCTCTTCACTGTGTTGGGGGGTAAAACACAGA